TTCGCCTTAAGGGCCTGAATCGTTTATAGATTGTTCGCATAACATCTATCCTTACCGCCAACCTACAAAAAAGAGTCGAACGGCGTCGAATCGCAAACACCGAGATGGCCAATTGACATCGCAAAGACGTAGCGTGACAAACGACCTTGACGCGCACACCCTTGCGGCCACACCCAACTGAGGATGCTTCTCGACGATCACGTACGGGTTTTCCGATCTCCAGATGCGGCAGTTTTGCTTGCTAATATAGCCACCGGAATGAAAAGATTATCTTTCGAGCAAAATCGTTGCCCATTTCCAGCTGCGCTAAGGCCCAAAACAGAGAAATGATAACGAAGCGGATGTTTGTGTGTCTTTAATTGCTGAGTCAATTGCAGCTTTTAAGTGAATAATAGTAGGTCTTTGTGCAAAATTCATATCAGGCGATTCGATGTTCCAGAACTGAGTTGCACACTCGCAGCTACAGTACAGTACAGTACGAGAACCATCAATGTTGTCCACTTGCATGCCAGTCTCACGAACTTACTGCACTAACTTGTGCACAGCAGGCGGGGTGGGTGCCTCATTTCGGTCAAAACTTTTTTTTTTTTAATAAACGCACTGTTTGGGCTACACAATTTTGGCTCGCACTGAGCCAAAAAGACAATGGCTTTTTCAACCAAGTTATTATTTGGTTTCTTCATGGTTAATACACCGATTGTAAGAAATATGATTCAAGTTGAACATTTGAAAACAAATTCGTATGTCCGACTGTGGCAGACGGTGCAAAGATGCTTGCTGTTGCTTTGCTAACTTTCAGAAGAGGCGGGCTCAAATTCCGTCAGAGGCAACATGTTAAAATAATAATAAAAATTTTGTGTTTTCTATCTCCGAATTATGAAAAACCATCCGGGAAGCACAGTGTGAAGTGCACAACATAAGCGTATTCAAATGAAAAAATCGACAACCAAATGCTTGGTTAATGTAAACAAAGGTGTGGTTAATATTACCAAGTCATTGTTTTGAAAATATCAAACAAGGCATTATTAACCTTAACAAAAAACCACTTTTATTCCTTTTCAAGAATGAATTTGAAAGTATTAACCAATTTCTGACTACCTATCAAGATTTTTAGCGGGAAAGAGTTGTCGCCAGCAAAATAACATATGGATCACCCTTTACAGACAAGACTAAAAAGAAGGAAAAGTATCTTTAAATATACCACATTTAAGAGGATATACATATGCCCTTAAAATTAGAAAATAATTTTTCCAGGACGCCTAAAGCTAATCTTGATCAGTTTTGATTTTATAATCTTAACATCATCCGCTATAAACTATAGGGCAATTCATCTAAACGCGTAAATGCCTCATAGCCACGTAAACCTCGTATTTGTATGGAAAATCGGTTTATTTACAAAACTTATTATATTATAAGATGTCTGCCAAAGTATTTCGGAAAAAAATTAAGATTTACGTGAGTTTTTAATTAATAAAAAGGGTTTCTTAAAGAACTTTTTGAAAAAAAAACCCTCAGATGACAAAACAGATTAACAGCCAGTTTCACCAAACTATTTAAGTGGAAATTAACTTTAATTTAATTTTTTATTTAAATCTCATTTTAATTATTTTCAGTTTCAATAAACTATTTATTTAAGTGAGTAAAAAGTGGTTGTAAAACAGACTAGGACTAGCTTTCGCTTTCATTTGTACTGAGAGCTTTTGAAAGCTTTGGCACGCTGTGTTGTAAAAGCAGGGCTGGTATACAAGTAAGCAGCAGATGCACAATGATCAGGTGATTAAACGTGTAACACCTCTGAGTGTGGTTATTCTGATTTAACTTTTATTTAAGTGCAGAGCCTAGGTCACTTAAATCAAAATTAAAATTGATTGGTGAAACCGAAATTAAAGTAATTTTCACTTAAATAATTTGGTGAAACTGGCTGTAAGCTTAACAATATTTAAAAATCTTTTCAACGGAATCGTAATAATAGGATTTTTGATGCCCTTTTTTACTTTATTCAAAAATCACGAAAAACTTGAATAATTGGGCCAAAACTATTCTGATTTAGACTTTTGGGATCTCAGTAGGATAATCCGACGAATTGATAACCTTCTCCTTTTTTTGAAGTCAGTTAAAACCCGATTGCCTACAGTATGTTTGGCCGAAAAATGTAAAAGGGCCTATGCCTTTTGACCATAGGAAATATATGTTCGAAATGGCTTTGCAAAAAAGAATCCTTGTGGCTCAGGGATGTACGACGAATTTTTTTGTTTGCACCTAAGGTAGTAAGGGTTAATGCACATTTACCTGCATAATAAGCTTTGAACATCCATACATTTGTATGTACATATGTGCTTACCATCATTGTCTTGCACTTCTGCTTAATTTGCGTCAAATTTACACACCACTCACTGATTGCAATTTGAAGGTCAAAAAAATGTTCATTCAATAAATCATTGTTGCTTACTTCATACGAAATTAACAAAATAAAAACGAAGAAAAAACCATTATGTTCGTCACAAGCTAGAGCTTTTATTCGATGAAGTAGCCGAGAAGTCAATACCTTTTCAAGTGGCACTGCGGATGCTACTACCTCTTTTTGAAACCTCCAACCCTCTTCCTTCCTAAGCATCGTACTGCTTTTGCTCTCGTTTACAACAAATTATGATAAGTTTCAGGTTTAACAACTTCAAGCATCATTTAAACTACAATGACCTCAGACAGTACAACAGCAACTGAAGCGTCTTCACTGAAAAACAAAGAACAAAAAAAAAACCCAGAACAAAAATAGCCCCACATATGTATGTATGTATGCAAGCATCATACGAGCAAGAAAATAACCAAATGTGCATTATCTTGACTTGGCTACTTTTGTTGCTGATGCTAATGTTGTCGTTATTCATGTGATTATTGCTACATACTTTTATTAACTACATTTTGTTGCAACGACACAAGACGCGCACGTTGTGTGCTGCTGCTATGCGCGTCCGTCATTAGCGATCATTACGTTGTGCGTACACCAATAACGGCAACACATCGACATCTTCTGCTTACCTTTTTCACATTTTTTCCTATAAATAGTGAAACGCTTCAAGTAAAATGACCTTCGATGGTAATTTTCTTATTTTTTTTTTTAATATTTTTTTTTTGTTTTCTGTTGAAGCTCTTCACTTACATACTTTTGTTTTGGCTCTTTGAAAACTCTTCTTGCTACTGATGATCGATAGCCAACCGACAACTTGACTTCACTTTTCATACATTCATACATATTTACTTCGTGTAATGCAAACCAAACAATTCAAAAGTGGTAGTAACAGTTATTGTTGTTTTTTTTTTTTAAACGCTCAAGATGCTGTTACAACTGTATGCAGTTGTTTTTGTTTGCGCGTTTTTTAAGTATTCCATTGCCGTGCGATTATCGTTAATATATTTTGTAGCATTCAACTAAAGTGTTGTTAGCTCCGCGCAAACGATGATGACCACAACCAGTTGGTCAATGTCAATGTCAGGTTGAAGTTTTATTTGATTTTATTTGGCAGTTATTATTGGATTTTGTATGCTTCATTGCCTGCCAGTTGCTGTTGAATGATTTTATCATTAGTATTGACGATGACCGCATAAGACCGCATAGGAAGGCAATAAAACCATAATTACAACTAATCTTTTAATTTCATTACTCGCAAACTGAAATTTTAGATGAAGCGGAGCATTAATAAGCGCGAAAAAAACTTGAAAATAAATTGATTTTTGTTGGCGTAATTTTTTTTTTTGCCTGAAGCTTTAAAGTAATTATAAAGAAGGGTTATAAGCTTCTAGGTAACTCAAATGGGTTGAATGTTTATATACATATATATATATATATATATACATATTCCTCAAATCAACTGTAAGATGCATACCAATGTAGATGCTTTTTAGATATTGTAAATTAGTCTTTGATTTGTGGAATCTGTGGTTTTCGTTACCAGGGCCGGACTAAAGATCTAAGCGCCCCGCGGGCGAGTCTTAAAATTTGTCTTAGTTCTTCTTCAGCTAACTCTCCGATGGATAGCTGATTAAAATTACTTGAGACATTATTGAATGCATAGCCTATTTATCTAATTATAATACCTTTTAAAGTAATTTATGGGTATTTTGGAAATATATGTATTCATATGTATGGTCATATACATAGTTCATTCCACATATAACTGAAACCACATATGTATGTATTATTGTACATCAAATTTTCAAACTTCGTACCGAATTTCCACACAATTCTAAAATCGTAATAATTCGTCATCGAATCGTCAAAAAAGCCATGTCTTACAAAATGTAATAAATATGAATTTTCTTCGTGCATTTTTTTCGTGATATTTTCAAATTCAACAAATCAAAAATCATAAAAATCGCTGCAGCCGTTTTAGAGTTGTAAATGGTGTAACTAACCCTACTAGGTTTTATAGATGAACAAATAGCTTTGACGAAGACATTTTCGGTTCTAAATTGTCATCGAAACAGGTTCTTTTGAACTTACATAGCATTCAACTAATATAAAATATATAAAATGCCTCGCATTAACTAACATTTAATTAATTATTTAACACAAATTGTTTTGATTTTTGCAATCATTTGCTTACACTAAGAATTTTATTTGAAAATTTACATACATATTTAATACATAGATAGTAAGACCCACAATCGTTTATATAAACATACATACCTTATATTTTACACATTAAGAATTTCTAATTGAAAAAGTATATCATAATTAGTTCCTATTCAAATGCTTCAAATCGCAAGTCAGGGAGAATGAGAAAACTTGCTGCTATCGGCGCACACATTTGTATGTATAGGTATGTGAGCGCATTTTCGTTACTTCTTTTCGTATTTTATTTTCAATCCGTTTCAATACATTACCACTTCATAGCACTACTTTAAATTGCCGTAAAATCGTTTCTGCAATAACCTTTGATTGCCACAAAAATGCCAAAAATGATGAGCAAGAATAGGGGAGCCAACAGCGGCAAAATTAAACTTTAAATGCTAAAATCACTGCAATCGGTTTCTGTGTTCTCTGGGGAGCTGCTGCGCCTAGCTGCGACACCATCATCAACTGGACCAACTAGTGAATGTTGCTGCAATTGCAATTGCTTTGGTTGCCACCATGTCAATGACGGATGTTGTACTATCATCGATGGTCTGTTAGATTGTTGTAAATGCCGCGCGAACAAAAATTCGAAATCGTTGTTGCTGGCGCGCGCTGGTGTTGGCAGCAGTGATAACTGCCAGGCAGCGCGCCGTTGCGCCTGCTTTTTCTGCCGTGGTTCATTTTGTAGTTGTTCATGGCGCAAATGGCGGCCGTAGAGGCGCAGCGCTGATTTGGTTGGTTGTTGCTGTTGTACTGTTGCTCGTCGCCGTTGATCGTAATGCAATTGCTGTCGAATTGTTTGTAGAGGCTGCCTTGTCATCGAAAACATTGAACGCCAATGATTAGCTGCGGGCCTTGTCGCAGCGGCGAATGTGCGCGCCACGCGACGCATGCGTGGATCTGTAAATGCGCCGCGCACAAGCGGCTGTTGTGCGGAAAATGTTGATGTGACTGATTGATCGTTTTCATTAAATAGATTTTTTGTAATAGCTCTGTTGCTCTGCAGCCAGTTAACAATGGCTGTGACGGCGGCGGCGTCCTTTCCACCATCACCATTGCCATCAACAACAGCCGCTAGATTGTTGTCAATTGTGTCACTGTAATTGTTGCCGTTGTCATCGCTGCTCTTGTCAAACAAAATTCGTATCGTTTCACCATCATCAGCGCCTGCGTTCCGCCCTGACCCTGCCAAGCCAAGTTCATGCGGTTGCAAATGTCTCTTCCGTCCGCCCTGCATGCGGCGTATGGCGTCTCTGACAGGCGGCGCTGTCAGGTTGCTGTCATCGTTGCCATCAACTTGATTGTCTAACAACCGCACGCTCTCCTCACTATCGCTGGCATTGCCTTCATTCTCACTATAGCTTCCCGTCACCTCGTTCGCCTCATCGTCACCAGGGCTACGCTGCCATTGGCCGCCAAGCGCCAACGTTCCAGCCTTTGGCGGCTTCAACTTTTTGCCGCGATTCGGAAAGAACAAATCGTTATACTTGAAAAGGTCTTTGATTTTGTCGCGTTTGCCGCGATTCGGCACAAATGTCTCGTAACGATTGAGCAATGCATCCAGATCGGGCAAATTGTGTTTGCGACCGCGCGGCGGTATGAATGGATCGTCTTTGTAAGGCGGGTCTGTGGAAAAAGTAAAAAAAAAATAAAATATTCGTGCATTACATCACTACAGCTGGTATCAACCGAACAAACAACGCAAACACTAACATCTAAAAACAACAAAGAACGTACAAGACAAGGCAATCAAGTGTTGCGCTTTCATTTGTAACGAAATAGTTTGTTGCAATCATTTCATGGAATTGTGCCTGGAAAGTCGTTGAAATAAAAGTGCCTACGTACTCTCTAAGTGCAGTGCCATCAGTATTTATGTGTGTGTGTGTGTGTGTTTTTCTTTTCTATTAATTTTAAGGGCCCGAAAGCGGGTGTGTGTTAAATAAAGCCTGATTATGGCAACTTAACTTAACGGAACGTAGAAGTTAGAGAATCAAACTGAAACAGATTTCGACATGGCATTAAGTTACGTTAACTTTCGGCTGTTCAATTATAAGCAATACCCATTTAACAGAATTTTTAAGAGAGAACCGTAAGTTACGTTAAGTTGCCATAATCAGACCATTTGTGTATTGTGTAATTTTATGTGACTTCAACAAATGTGAGCATTCTAATTTTATGCTCGAGTGCAAGTGGAGTTTTATGAGAACACCGAATGGCGTGCGGAGAGTGGCATATGATTAGGCGATTGTTAGACACACTGCGCCGCTACTGTTTATATGTACATACATATGTATATTGATGATATTAGCAGAGCAATTCTGGCTAAGATTTTTTTTTTAGTGTGGNAGAGTTTTATGAGAACACCGAATGGCGTGCGGAGAGTGGCATATGATTAGGCGATTGTTAGACACACTAAGCCGCTACTGTTTATATGTACATACATATGTATTTGATGATATTAGCAGAGCAATTCTGGCTAAGATTTTTTTTTTAGTGTGGCACAAAAATCTTCACAAAAATAAAACTTCCTTGCCAACTTTCATGATGGAAAACGCTTTTGACAGAAACCACTTCTACATCATTTTGCTCGCGATGCTCCAACACTCGGATTGGCCGTGTGATCAAAGCACCCCGAGAGATCCGAGGTTCGAGTCCTACAGTAAGGAACTTTTGCTTTGCTTTAATTTATTATTTTTTTGCTAAATTAATTTTCCTTTAATTTATGGATTTTTTCGTATTAAAAAGAAAAATATAAATACTTTTTCAACTAAATTTAATTTTTAGTATTTTGTTTATTTTATTTTAATTTTTTTATTTTTTTTTAATTTTTTTATTTTTTTTTATTCAATTTAGATTTTGTTTTATTAAAAAGAGAAATAATTTGTTAAATGCCAATTATTATTTAATTATTGTTATATATTATATCAATTTAAATTTTTTGTTTTAATTTAATTTAATTTTTTGGTAAATTTTATTTTGGTTTTTAAAAATTTACGGTTTTATAAAGAAAAATATATATTTTTTTGATTTAACGTAATTTTTAGAAACTTATTTAATTTTTTATTTATTTATATTTCTTTTAATTTTCAGATTTTATTGTTATAAAAAGCTCTTTGTAATACTATTTAATTTTTGGAACTTATTTAAATATTTTGTTTTTAAATAAAACAATTTTTATTTTTAATTAAGTTTTCTTTTAACATTTAGTTTGTTATTTTAAAAAGAAGAATATATTTTTTAACTTCATTTTATTTTTGGAAAGCTTACTCTAAACGACAGACAGAATAACGGTAAGACCTCGTTAGCAAATATTACAATTAGTCGTTCGAAAGATTTTAAAGACATTTGAAGACATGTGGTGGCTTTTGTCTTTCGAAAGACTGTGGAAAGACAGTTGCCAGAATTGCCTTGTAAGGGCATATTCAAACTATTTTTTTACGATCGATGCTGTATTTGCCAAGCTACGAGTGTGCGTTCGTATTCCGTATTGGCAGGATACTGTCCTATAAGCGTTCACGGCGCACTTGCCAGCTATTTGAACGACGATTAGGCGATATAATTTCAGCCCCTCCCTCAAGCTGCCGGGCAAACTTGGCAGCACTGGATAGTTTTCGACGAATTTCGCCGCGTACTTATTTCATCATGACATAATATTTATGAACTAAATTAACTAAACTTACTACTAACACTACTTGTTCGCCTGCATATGCACATTTTAAAGAGGAAAATGCATGAGTTAATGCATATAAAGGCTGTTTATGCAAATAAGCGATCCCGTTACCCGTATAATGCACGACTTACGGCATAAAGCTTAATGAAATTAAGAGAAAATCTAAAGCGAGATTTTGCTCTTATTTGTTTCTGAGATATTTATTCCTATGGCAGTCGGATCTTAAGTGGCATGCCCACTAGCTTTTCTTAAGAAAAGAGAATTATGAAATATGGCGAAAATGGGTTCATTCCACGCCCACCACCACTGTGGTTGGTTAGTTTTGGTTTCCGGCTACCACTCGCGGAAAAATAAACGCTATATTTAAAGATTCCGAAGTTGTAAATATTTTTATTTCTCCGGGTTTGTGAATGATTTCGCATGATCGAAAAGTTCTTTTCACGAAATTAAGCAAAAGGAAGATCGAAGAATTAAGAAATTCCAAAAGTTATATATGTACGTACATATATATATTTTCAAACTCGTGCGAAAAGGTTGAATTATATATTCGCAAGCTACATGAAATTCTCTAAA